CCCTCGTCGCCACCCTCCTCCGCCACCCTTGTCATCACCCTCCTCGCCACCCTCGTCGTCCTCCTTTTCGTCCTCATCCACCACCCTCCTCCGCCACCCTCCTCCTCCTCTTCCTCCTCCTCCTCCACCCTCCTCCTCCACCCTTCTCCGCCACCCTCCTCCTCCTCCGCTACCCTCCTTTTTCAATCAATCAATCAATCAATCAATCAATCAGTCGATCGATTCCATCAATGAATCGATTTGATTCGTTGATTGAGTCCAATCTTGATCTTGGAGGGGGTAGAGGACGATGAGGATAACGAGGACGCAGACAAGGTGGAGTAGGAGGAGGAGGCGATGGTGGAGAAGATATGTAATGGACGAATCGTCAATCATTGACAATCAATCAATCAATCAATCAATCAATCAATCAATCAATCAATCGTTCAAAGGGTGAATTAATCAAACCATCAATCAATCAATCAATCAATCAATCAATCAATCAATCAATCAATCAAGGCGGTAAACCAATCAATCGATGAATGAATGAATGAATGAATGAATGAATGAATGAATGAATGAATGAATCAATCAATCAATGAATCGATCTATCAATGAATGAATGAATGAATCGATCAATCAATGTAATCAATCAACAATCAATTAATGAATGAATCAATCATTCAATCAATCAATCAATCAATGAATTAAATCAATCAATCACCAATCAAGCAAAGAATCAATGAAACTTGACAGTCAATCAATCTATCAGACTATCAATCAATTCAATCAATCCAGCCATTACTCAAACAATCTATCAGTCAATCACTGAACGGGACAGGGATTCGACCAATCAATGATCATTGAATGATGATGTGTTTGTCATCCACCTAATGCACTGTCTTTCGTTCTGGCTTTATGCAGCTTGCATTTGTTGCATGCTTGCACGGTGTCTGCCGGCTCTAGGCAAACCACCTTTTGCTCCGTTCGTGAGCCTGTCCACGTTTTGTGCATATCAGCAGGTAAAGTCCATGGTGCGATCAGTTCTCCTAGTCCATCATCATGGCGTCATCAAGCAGACGTCGTGGAGATTACCCCCCATTCGAGGCTCTTCATGATACAAAACAGCAGGACTTGCAGCGTAACCATCCAGTGTGGCGATGGGTTGCGAAGGGCCAAGAGTACGGTCTGGCAGGAGGGGGTAACTTCCTCATGCGATGCCGCCTCTGCGATGAGGTTTTCCCGGGATCTAGATCTAGGGCAGTGGATCACTTCACTAAGGTGAAGTTACATTGCCCACGGCGGACCGGGGAGATATTGTGGAATTTGCAGTGTTCAGGGGCATTATTGAAGGACCCCACGACACAAAGGTTGGCTGCAGAGCATGCACAACGGTTGGACGGAGAGTTATCTGTCCAGGATATGCATGGAGGTGAGGGACCTGATCCGAGCACTGCACAAACACATCACGTGGTGGCAGGGGGTGGCACATGTGCAGACAGTGCAGGTGGGAAGGTGGAGCCGCACCAAGGACCTGCACAGTCTGTTGCGGTGGAGGCTGCCGGTGCTACACGGACTCCTCAGGGAGCGAGTTCATCCATGCAGGTCGCAGTTAGACAGGTGCGGCAGGGCAGGTTAGATCCGTGGCTAGGGAACAAGGTGCAACGAGATCTGGACCGTCTTCTAGCTCTCGCCATGTATCGAGGCGACGTCTCCTTCAACTGGCTCCGACTGAAGGAGACAAAGGACTACTGAGACTATATCGTCACACTCTTGAGACCGAGTATTGTCCCTGTTCCGCGTTTGCTGACTTATGAGGGGGTGCATATGAGGATGATGGATATTATCTACCACGAGGTAGCAGCGCTGATAGCCCCTAAAAAGGCTAAGTGGTCAGAGACAGGGTGCACATTGATGACAGACGGAGCGACCGACCAGCGGAACAAGCCCATAATGAACTTCATCGCAGCAGGGCAGTCTTGTCCGGTCCTCATCCACACCATTGACATGTCAAATAGGGAGAAGACCGCCGCCAGCCTCGCGGACATATGGGAGGGGGTGATTAGAAATCTTGGAGTCGACCAGGTAAACGCCATTTGCACTGACAACGCGAAGGTCATGAAGGCCGCAACAGCTACTCTACAGGTTCACCCGAATGCAGCGATTGCACACATCCCTTGGGTCCCTTGTGCAGCGCATTGCCTGCGCCTGCTGCTCAGAGACATTGCTTCACAGGATTGGGCATCACCAATCATGAAGAGGGCTCACAAGATTGTGAAGTTCTTGAGGAACAAGCAAAGGGCAGCAGCGATTCATCGGGACATGACGCGCGCCTTAGAACTAACCCGGTCAGCTGACACACGATTTGGGACAACATACATGATGCTGCAGAGGCTATATGCGCAGAGGGAGGTGCTGGACTCTGTTGTGTCATCAGATCGTTGGAAGAATGCACGCTGGACTGGAGATGCAAAGAAGGATCGTGCGGAGGATGTGCAGATCGCAGTGGTGGTGGGATCAAGTGAAAAGTTTGATGGATGTAATGGAGCCCTGCTACGCATTCTTGAGGGATATAGATAAGGATGGGTCGTCTCCTCCTGGATTGTGGGATTTGAAGTCCATGCTGGAGAGGAAGATAGTTGCTTTGCAACTGGATGAGCAGCAGAGGACACTCGTCATGGAGAGGGTTGTAGACAGGTGCGCCATGATGCGACAACCTGCACATGCCGCAGCATATCTCCTAAACCCTCGCCGACGCAATATTTCTTTGTTGGCGGATCGCGGGTCACCGGTGGTGCAGAGCGCTCTTGAGCACTTTGCGCATTGTTCGGGTGTGGAATGGCAGGCATACATCATGCAAGACTTGTGGCATGACTTGTGGACTTTTCATTGTGATGACCCTAGGTATTGGCCGGTAGAGGGACCACATTGGTGGGACGAGTTTGCCACAGGAGATGCTGCTACTGATGCGATGCACCCAGCGTTGTGGTGGCACCTTCACGGCAGGGGTGCTCTGAAGTTGCAAGCGATAGCGAAGGCCGTGCTTGGCATGTGGTCCACCGCGTCTCCATGCGAGCGCAACTGGGCTACACACGACTTCGTTCACACGAAGAGGCGCAACAGGCTTACTTCGCAGAGCATGGAGAAACTGGTTTTCATCCACTGGAACTTGCAGCTTCTTAGTGCGAGTCGGAGGCCAGAAGGACGGTACATCGATATATGGGCAGACCAGCTGGAGGATCCGCCTGTGGAGGTTGACAATGGTGATGTTGTGCCCGATGATGTAGACATGGACGAGTGGGAGGCTGCAGCTCGAGCCAACCGCCACAAGGAGGGCAGAGATCGCATAGGAGCAGAGTGGGGCCTGGTGGACGAGGAGGCAGACATGTCCCTTTGGCAGGATGATGTATGGATGCACCGGGAGATGATGGAGCAGGCCCAGGCAGAGAGGAACAAAGGGAAGACAGTTGTGGAGGATCACCACGACGTCTTCGACGAGTGGGCGACCCCCGACCCCCACGGCGACCTCGACACTTACGTGGACGGTAGTTTCAATTCTGTCAGGACTTTACGAGAGAGGGTGGGGGGCCACGTGGACTTGGAGGCGCTGCTACAGAGAGATGATGATGCGGACGAGAGGCAGCGCTTTTACGAGGAGGTTTGTGCATCCGCTCAACATGCAGGTGCGGGCGTTGCAGGAACGTCGTGTGCTACCACTTCAGATTTCCATGATCGCCTAGGGTCATCCCATGGGGGCGACGGAGGCGAGCAGAGCACGTTCGTGGAGCCACCTTCTGCCGCTAGTACATGTCCTGGCGATGCCACCGACGGAGTTGAGAAGACGGAGGAGCCGACCACCCAGCGTCTTGGAGAGGAAAGAGAGGAGCACCAAGTGCACTCCGCCACCCCACAAACAACAGTTCACATTCCTGGGGTCGGGATAGAGCAGGTGGCGCATCAGAGTGCAGACCGTCAGAGGGTGACACAGACAGTTGTGCAGACAGCGCATCAGTCGATGGCCGGCAGGATGGATGACTCCCATAATGAGGGGGCAGATGAGGCCATACAGCCAGTCCTCTGCCAGAGAGTAGAGCAAAGCGTTGGGRATATTGCAGMGGTTGCAGCACGCGAGGGAACTGACCCAAGGGCYGAGGAGGGCGSACAACCACTGGTCGACCAGAGGGCAGAGCAGTTAGTGYGGGRGAGTATGGAKRCCATAGTTGAGTAGAGGGCGGAGYAGAGGGTGYAGTCGTCTGCAGATTGTAGAGTGTCCTTGAGGGTAGAGCAAAGGGTGGATMAGAGGATTGAGAGGAGGGYGGACATGACTGTGCACCAGGTGGTYGAGCAAACGACATTAGACAGACCACGCCTTAGYGTGGATGACAGGATGGGTGAGAGTGTGGTGCAGGATCGAGGTGGCATGACTCGAGGCTCTTTCTATGGGATCCCACCTCTTCCGACGCTTCCCGCACGAGTGCTCGACGGCTTCGATCCACAGACACGTAGTGTGCCGACACCGTTCCGCCCCATTGTTGTTGACAGTGGGTCCACAGGAGTTGGGGGCGTAGTTGACTCATACTCTACTCTTGGTAGACCTGGGCAGCCTCCACCATCTCAGCACGTGCACACATTGCAGGCGTCGAGAGCAGCCTCCTCATCGGCTGTACAGAGATGTACGGGGATGCGGTCATCTTCGACGAGTCACACCCTTGCGAGTAGTCCGTTAKGCATGCCCTCGCTTCCTGCACAGTGACTAGGTGCTATCATGGATAATGTAAAGACAAGTCGTGCCGGCAGGAAGAGAAAACTGAGCGAGGATGACGGTGCCACAACTCCTGTTACCAAAAAGAAGGTGGGTGGCACCGGCAGACCTCGTGGTCGCCCACCAGGAAAAGGCAAGGGCGCAGGGCAGAGCGCTTTAGGTGATGTGAGGTTCACCCCTTCTCACGTGTCGCAAGCAGTGGGTCCACAAGGGGGCGCTGCTCATGGTGTACGTACCCGTTCTCGAGCCGCCGGAGACAGCACATCGAAACACTCTTCCCGCATCGTAGACGATGATCCTGATGAGGACAATGATGCACTTTCATCAGATGGTATGTCCGGCAGTGATTATGAAGAGGAGACACGTCTGAGGGGTGTAGATGAGGACGTCTCTGATGACACCTCAGAGAGCGCAGATGACACCGCAGAGTAGCGGGACGAGGGTCGCTGATGATGAATGGATGTGAGTGTGTGCGCTGTCTTTGGGGTAGGTCTGGTGTGATGGATGCTAGTGCTCGTCTGATTGCTTGACAGTTGTCTGGTGCTTTGCTGCGAGGGTGGTGGGAAGAGACAGACAGAGAGATGACTGGGAGATGCATTACGTTGTTGTAACCTGTGTCGTGCATTTGGTTATGAATCTCTGAATCAAACTTTGTGTACTTTGTCTCTTAGTCAATCATGCAGTTCATCAGTCAATCAGTTAGTTTGTTGGTCTTGCAGGGACTCGTGTGCTTGTCTGTGTATGTGTGTGTGTGTGTGTGTGTGTGTGTGTGTGTGTGTGTGTGTGTGTGTGTGTGTGTGTGTG